GTCAGCACACACCCCCAGCCGGCGGAGGGGGTGCCGGGCCGCCCCGGGCCCCGCTCCCGCCGCCCTCCCCGCCGGCCCCGGGCCCGGCCCGGGCCCCCCCGGCACTCAGGGGGCCCCCCCTGCTCGGGCTGGGGCTCGGGCCGTCCCCGGGGCCGGCGGCCGCCCGCGGGCAGCGGGGCGCGGGGGGTGCCCGCGGGGGCCCGGCAAGGGCCGCGCTGCTCCAACGCCGCCGCTCCGCATCCCCCGCAGCCCCGGCCCGCCGAGGCCCGCCCGGCGCCGGCCGCCCCTGCCGGCACACACAGCCCCGACGGCCCGCACGGAGCTCGGCAGCTGCTCCCGTCCCGCAGCGCCCGCGGAGCCGCCCGGCCCGGCCCGGCCCGGCCCCCCCGCCCGCCGCCTGCGCGGCACCGCCCGCCCGACCGGGGGGCGACACGGGGGCGATGCCCCAGCGGGGCTCTGGGGAGGGAAGCGGCTTTTTGGGGGGCGATGCGGCTCCCCGCGCACCGCAGCCCACGGGGGTCGGTGTCCCCGCTGTCCCCGCGTGTCCCCGCTGTCCCGCTCTCCGCCCGCCCCGCTGCCGGCGATAAGAACAATCGGAGGAAGCGCGGCCACAGCCCCGTCCCGTCCCACGCACCCCCCGGCCCTGGGGCAGGAGGAGACTGAGGCGCAGGGCTATGGCACTGAGGGCTCTGCCCCCCAAAAGGTGGCCGGCACCTCCCAGGGGGGCTCACGACCCCCAGCCCTACATCATCACTAAGGTCCCTTCCAACGCAACCGTTCCACGGTGGCAGAAAGACACTCTGCCTCAGGCACACCTAGACCAGCTCCTCCATCACTACTGAACAGCCCACATGGGCAGGAATTAAAACTTAACCTCGATTTTACCCAGGCTTCTTATTCCAAATTTGCCATCACAGATTGGGCTCACTGTTTTCTTCTTTCCAGCTTCTTTTAGTCCCTCTCTCTAGAAGGAAGACCCCTTCTTTCTCCTGCATGGAGAGAAGACCTTCTACACAACCATAAACTCACCTGGGCAAAACCAGATCGTTTGGGTTTGACCAGGTGCTTCAAATTACTCCTTTGCCAACCACAAACACCTGGTGAAACAGGCACTGAGCTTTACCAGCCCATTACCCACAGAATCATGGAATCATTAGGGTTGGAAAAGCCCTCTAAGACCACCAAGTCCAACTGTTCCCCCAACATTGCCAAGCCCACCATTAAACCATGCCCCCAAGTGCCACATCCACAAATCTTTGGAAAAAACTTATAATGACCAGGCAGAGCTCTCCTGCCCCAGCCACACATCCCTCTCTCCAGAGATCCCTGCAAACCCAGCAGTGCTTCCCACCAGTGCCCAAGCTGGAGGTGTTCCCTCACATGAAATAGGAGATCACAGGAATGGCTTTTGTTTTAAGAAATAGCCTGTATAACATTAAAAACATTAGAGAGAAATGAAATAATTACTTAGGCAAGACTTAGTGGATTTAATTGCTGCTTTTCCATCGTGTGTAATTGGTGTTTTAAGTTATATTAGCAATGTTTCCCATGAAAAGGCAGGTGTGTGCCACAGAACGAGGCTGTTATTAATAGGATAACCACAATTAAGTGTAATTGGGATCATCATATCAATCACTCCATGGAGCAGCACCGGCAGAGAGTTTTCCACCTGCTTTTCTGATCATTTCAGTGATGCATCAAAGCCAAAGAAAACGCCTTTGGGCACAGGCAGCAAGAAGCTCCTTAACCTTCTATGCCGTTGACCCAATCACGGGCAGATAATCTGAGGGCCAAAATTCCACCCCACTTCTCCCAAGGAGGAGATGGGTCACCCCCAATGTCTGATGGAGGGGACAGAAACGTGGCACAGTGGTACTGGAGGCTGTTTGCATCCTCCTGGGGGCTGGTGCCACATCCAGCCCTCTCCCCATCCCATCAACACCTTGCATGAAGGAAAGCACGCCCAGGCAGTCCCCACACAGGCTGTGCTGCCTGTCCTGGGGGGTCAGACACTTGGGCCTGGGCTGTGGAAAAGGGCGGTCTTCCCTGGATTCTGTTTTCTATTCCCACTTGGAACACTAAGCTGTGACATCTCCTGTTTTCCTCCTTGTGGGAGGCAGCTAAAAGATCACTTTTCCAGAAGAGGGGAAAGCCTGAGGAGATCACACAGCTTCAGAAGCTTGGCTTGAAGAAAACCTTCAGATGCATTAAAAAAAAAGAAGAAAAATCACAAGCACAAAATCCAAGGGCAGCAATGCTGACATGCCTGTGTGTGCATCTCCCAGGAACAAGGGTAACACCTCACACCCTCCAGCCCTTTTACCCCCCCGAGCCCCAGCTCTGATGATGTATCAGCCCACAAATTTTAACAAACAACCCTCCAGACAGGGCTTTTCTTCCCTCTCCTCCATCAGCACCTGCCAACAGCCACCTTAACAAGCCAAAGGTGTGCTGCATGAGGTAATTCCTTTCCCCTCCTTCCTCTCCCTCCCAACAGTATTACTTCAATTGTCTTCAGCTAAAATCAATTGTAGGTCAAAAACCTCTGAGATTTGGAGCAGGCCTTGAACTTGTGACTGATCACAAACTTCCCTGCTGTAGCTGAGGTGCTCCAGACCTTCTTGACTGCTCCTGTAGTGGTGCCCACACTGCAGGAAGGCTCCAGGGAGACCTGAGAGCCTCTTCCAGGGCCTAAAGGGGCTCCAGGAGAGCTGGAGAGGGATTGGGGACAAGGGATGGAGGGACAGGACACAGGGAATGGCTTCCCACTGCTAGAGGGTTGGGTGGGATATTGGGAAGGAATTCTCCCCTGTGAGGGTGGGCAGGCCCTGGCACAGGTTGCCCAGAGAAGCTGTGGCTGCCTCAACCCTGGAAGTGTCCAAGGCCAGGTTGGAGTAACCTGGGCTGGTGGAAGGTGTCCCTGCCCATGGCAGGGAGTGGAACTGGATGGGCTTTAAGGTCCCTTCCACCCCAAACCATTCTGTGATTCCATGGTTCTCCCTGAGCCCCATCAGCAGATTACCACCCCTAAGGGGCCACCAGGACTGATGAAGGTGAAGGAAAGCCCAGAAGATGCTGAACTGGTTTACTGAATTAATTTTCCTGGTCTAGCAAAAGTTGGCTGCTTAAGGCAGCTCGGCTGGGGCCACAGGCGATGTGGTGCCCTCCCCAGTCGATGCCATCCAAGGACATAACTCCCCCAGGGCACCTAAACAGGACTCCTTAGGTATCTCTGAAGTGAGAAGAACACTAAACAAAAGTGATAAGGAATGAGCAGCTTCTTGAAAACCCAAACAAAGTTTCTGCAGCCATGAAGGAGTCAGAAAATGTGCTTCTCTAATCAAGACATCCCAAGTGCTTCCTGCTGGGATGCCCTGGGGAGCTCTGCCCCACGGGACTGCAGCTGCCTTGTCAGGGAGACCTCAGGCTTCTGCAGGGGTTCAGATTTACAGCTGGGCCAGATCAGGAGTGGGTTGCAAACCCCCTGTTTGAGAAGAAATAGGTCATAGCAGCAGCCTCTTCTAGCAGGTGCCCAGCAGAGGGATGGCCAGTTGCCCCCATCCCATAACCTAAAGTCCTTTCCCCTCTCTGGAACCAACCCACTGTCAGTCTCACAGCTCTTCATACGTGGTGTGTGCACCGAAATCAACAAAAACACAACATCACAGACCCTCATTTTTAATTCAGCCCCCGTGACCAAGTGTTAAAGGCTCTTGTCTTCCTCCCAAAAGGGTTAAGTGACTCCATACTCCTAATTTATTCCTTATCTTTTAGCTTTGTTAGGTTTCAGCAGCACCTGGTTTGTTGTCTACTTTCATTTTCTATTGCATTCAGCTCAAATAGTTTCAGCTGAGATAGGACACCTGCTCCCAGCATCCTCCCACCACAGCTGGAAAGCTGAAGTGAGACACTTCCCAGGCAGGTTTAGCCTGGTTAGCACCTCACCCCTTGCCCTGATCCAGGACAGAGAATCCCAGGCACGTCCCAACTGCTCAACTCCCTCCAAGTTGCCCTGACACAGCACACGGGGCTCCTCAGCTCCCTCAGCTCTCTTTCCCCTAATCCCTTGAGCAGCAGCTGGATATTCCCACCTGTGTCCCTGGGGGGAGAAACACCCAACACCCCCACCACGACCTGGGAGCCAAACCCGAGCACAGACCCTCCCAAATCCGGGCAATTTCCCCCTCTGGGTGCTCTCCTGCTGTTCCTTCGTGCTCCCAGCTTGGACAAACTCCCGTACCAAGGCGAGGGGAGGGGAACGCTCAGTGATCTCGGAGTGTGGACTCAAAGGAGGCAGACACGGGGTGGCTCAGCCCAACACGCCCCTTTGGAACCTACAACGAGTTCGTGAAGTGACCCTTGGGCCAGGTGAGGTGGCCCTGGTGAGCTCGGGGCCATGGGTGGGCACAGCTTCCCCTGAGCCCCCCGGGTGTGGTGCCAAGTGAGGGACAGCGGGCTGGCAGACACACCCCGTGTGCCCAGCAGAGCCATTGATTCCTCATCTTACACACAGCTCAGCCCTTCGGCTCCCCTGCCCCAGAGTGGGTGCAGAGGGAGGTGGCTGGGCAGGGATGGGTGCCCTTTCCCTGGCATTGGCACCCCATCCCCCCAGGGCTTGGTTTCCTTTCAGGTTCCAGCTGCACATCCAAGATAAGGCAGGTCCACCCACAGCAGGAGAGCAGAGACTGGTTTTTCTCCCATTTACAAATTTAATGGCTGGAGGATGTGGTGAAAGAACGTTCTGCTCTGGAGCACCAAACCACACTCATTAACTCCTGGTTAGGGCTGTAATGAGGGTTCATTGTCTCCTTGTCCCCTCACACCAACCTGCTCTTTATTCAGGGGTGACTCCTAGTCTTGCCCTGGGCCTTG